AAGTTAATTAAGATGTTATAACAATGTTTTACTTAACGAACAACGAGCTCGATCTTCTAAAAAAGAAAAATCGATGAACCCCGAAAGAACTTAGGATCTATATGCCTTTTGAATTGGAGCCACTTCAAACATATCAAGATTACTCCGGACTAGGGAAAACAACCAAGATGTCAAGACAGAGGTAATCGCTCAACATTATATTACTCAAATAATAGACAAATAAAATATTGAGTCGGGTGAAAAGGAATGAGTACGTCTTGTTGACACTTAAGGCTCGTCATGCAACATGCGAAAAAAAAACAAATGAAAAAAATCGAGCCAAAATCTTTTTCATTGGTACACGTCCCAAAATTGCTCCTATGGCATCACCCATGAAAATGACAAAGCAAATGTTTAGATTTGTAAGTCCTATCTTGATACTATTCTAATAAAACGGGGTTCAATAAAATAAAGGTCATATAGATCGGATACTATTATCGATAGGATGAGGAAAGGCTCGCTTGGGAATTTTATCATACTTATTTGAAACTTATCCATTGAAAACTAAGTTTGAGCTTTCTATTTTTCTTCATGAAAACCCGGACTAGGATCACCCCTCACACTGGGGGCAAAAAAAAGATTTGAGAGGCATGTCACCAAATAATTTGTGATCTAACAAACCCAAAAAGGAGTCACTACTAAAGAGGATTAGGAAGGAAGGAGGAATAAGGTCATGATCTTTCCATGCACCTCAAAAAAAAAACAAAACAAAGCTTCTAAAAAGGGGTCCTACTTCATTAGAGAAAAGAGTAAATCACCTCACGAGACCCCAATCCCGAGTTAGGTTGACAAGATCACAATCAAACATGCCTCTAATCAAATTTGCTTAAAAAAAAAAAGGTCCTATGTCAAGCGAACCCCGAAACACTATTTGAGCCTATTTTATCCATTTTTCAGAAACCATGCCTTAGCCTACATTACGAACCAATAAAAGTCCTTTCTAACTAGAGACAAGTAACCGATCGGACAAGTGTCGGATTCGCAAGCCCCTATAAAAGAATTTTTATCGAACGGATAGTCAAAATCGAAGCATAGGCTAGTCAAAATCATGGTCGGTGCTAATACTTGAGGGCAAACAATATCTTCTATCATCGAACTCCGTGATTTTCCACTCGTTAAAGTTCAACATTCAAACCAAAAAACATCATTATTTATATCCTCAAAACATTTGCATGACAAGTCCACGAGTTTAATGGGTTTTTACTCGACCTTTGAATCCAAACCCTCCAAAGGAAATCTACCTAGCTTTCCCTATGAAGGAGAAAATTCACAAAAGGGAGAAGTGTTAAACATTTCAAAAGGCATATGGAGCCTCAAGTTATAAGGAAGGTCGCCAAAACATCGACCAATCCAAAGTAGCAACCAATCCACCATCCTTCCCAACAAACATAAGCGGTCAATAGACAGTCGATCAAGTTAGGGAGCAACCATTACCATCAACGGACCAAGGGGACTACCGCATTCCTCATAAACTTCGAAGGATAGATCAATCGAGTTCACAAAAAAGTAAAAACACAATCGGGGAGGAGGACCATGGAGCTTAGAGCATAGATAGCCAATCAACTTCTAATAGTCGAAAGAGAGAAGTCAAACAAGGGGATTCGAGCAGTGGTGGCCTTGACTAACCGAGTATGCTGATTTTGTTTTCGGGTACATTATAATATCAACGGATACAAAGGGAATGGGGAAGCAATACTCCTCACAAATCCATCTCGGGTATGGTCACCTCATAATAGATCACCGCTCGAGTGCGAAACCCTAAGTTCAACAACCACTTTCGGGTAAGGGCAATTAACTCAATTCAGCAGGTAAGATTGCCAATTTTTTCTCAAACGTTTAATTTTCGGGGTAGGCCATCCTTTACAATAAGGCTACGCACCGCATATTTAATTTATAGGGTAGGTCGCCCTTTACAATAAGGCCACGCACCTCATGTTTAATTTTCACTACATATTTAATTTCTAAGGTAGGTCGCCCTTTACAATAAGATCACGTATCCGTAAGTTTAATTTTCGAGTAGGTCGCCCTTTACAATAAGGCCATGCATCGCATATTTAATTTCTAGGGTAGGTCGCCCTTTACAATAAGGCCACGCATCCGTACGTTTAATTTTTAGGGTAGGTTGCCCTTTACAATAAGGCCACGCATCTTCACGTTTAAGTTTCGGGGTAAGTTCGCCCTTTACAATAAGGCCATGCATCACATATTTAATTTTCAAGGTAGGCTGGCCTTTATAATAAGGCCACGTACTCGGACGTTTAATCTCCGGGGTAAGTCGCCCTTTACAATTAGGCCATGCTTTCCCACGTTTAATTTAGGGTAGGCTAGCTTTTATAATAAGGTCATGCACTCGTATTTTAATTTTTACGGTCATTCTATCATAGCTTTGCCTCCGGTTTAAAAAGAAATCTTTTCTTTACAAACTTATTAAACAAAGTCGGTGAAAAGTAACATTTTCACCGACTTTGCGCCATAAGCATTATAAAGAGGGGCAACTATAATAACCCAAAATTTTCTTATTTTTTATTTTATTTTTATTTTTATTTATTTTATTATTTATTATTTATTATTTATTATTATTTATTATTTATGTTTTTTGTTTTTAATTTGAAGTTTATTAAGGAAGAAGAAAAAAAAGAAAGAAAATGATGAAAAAACAAAAAAATTCATTTAGGGATATAATTGAAGTAATTAGGGGTGTAATCGAGTCAATTAAAAAGTTTAGGCCTTAAATTGCACCTTTAGGGGCCTAATTGTTGAGATTGTACTGAAATTATTTCGCAAAGGGGCGTAATTGCTGAAATTGAAATGCGAGGACCAAACTCGGAAGTTTGGAGCGAACGACAAGACCGAAATGGAGCAAACGACACGTGATTCGCTCCAAGGGAGATTCTCTTCGAAAATCTTTGAGAAAATCCGCCCAAATCCTCCATGAATTTCTTGTTTTTGATTGTGTATTAATCATAGATTTTGTTGCCAAAATCAACGCTAACGAGAATCAATGAGAATTTCTCGTTTTGATTTCACAATTAATCATGAATTAAAGAGAAAAATTTTTGACGAGAAAATTCGGGGATTTCGATTCAATTTTAGGAAATGTTTGGGCTATACAACGTTTGAATTTCACGGAAAGATAAGGGGGAATGGAGAGAGGAATTCGATTTGAGAGATAGGAAATTCAAGCAAGAAAAAAAAACAAAAGGTTGATTTTCGATTTTTATTAGCGAAATTTTCCGGGTTTGTTTGGTTGAAGGTTCTTCTTTCGGGTTTGTGTTCTTCAACCCAAAACCAGTTTGAAGCATCCCTAACCTTGATTCGAGGAAGATTTTTGTTTGTTAGGGCGAAGGAAAGGAAATTGAGAGTGAGATTTCAAGGAATTCGTGAGAAATTAGTGTTCTAATTCGTCGCATTTTTGGGTTTTCGTCGAGTCTTTTTGGGTTTGTTCTTGATATTCTTCCCGTTTTCCGAGTCGGTCTTTGGGTTTGAATCTTTAGTTTCGAATTTCATTATGGTTTTAGTTTCAATCGTTCATTTTATTCATGTTCTAAATAGTGGTTTATATAATCAAGTCTTTCCTTTTAAAGAGGGTCCTTAAATTCCGAAATAAATTTGAAGAACTAGGGAGAGAAAGTGAACAACACGAAGAATAGGAGAGAGAAAGAGTTATGAACTTGAAATTTTGGTTTTTTTGATCTAAAAAATAAGAAATGAAAACGGGTGGACTTGTTTTTGGGTTAAGCCTAACCCGCGAAAAAAAAAAAGAAACGAAAGGGGTTGGACTTCCTTTCAATCCAGCCCATCGTCCTTTTCCAAAAAAAAAAAAACATGTGGCTGGACTCGAATTTAGCCTAGCTCGTGTCCCTAACCCAAAAAAAGAAAAAGAAAAAAAGAAAAAAAAGAAAAAAAAGGGGGAAATGAAAAAATAAAAATAGAATTAGGGAAGAAAAAAATATGGGGATGGGTAAAAAAAAAGAGAGTAAAAGTGAGGGTTAATATTTTAGGGATAGGATGATTTTTTTTATTTCTTAACCTCGTTTATATAGGATGATTTTTTTTTTATCCTTTTTGTTCATTTAATTTTTTTTAGTCTGTTTATTTTATTTCTTGTCCGTTTTCCGTATTAATTTAGAATTTTCAATTTCAATTTTTTTATTTTATTTTCTTTAATATGTATCGCTAGAAAAATTATATATAGATATAGAATTTAACGAAGTCTCATATCCGATAGGCATCGAAGTCACATAAAAAAAAATGCCCAAAAATTGGCGAAGCCTCCTATTTGATAGGGATCGACGCCATAAAAAAAAATCACCTTTTAATCAAAACGTCCTCCGACACGCCGGTTGTGTCAAGGCTTTTAGTGGATTTGATGTTTGAATTGACGTGTCACCCAACGAAGGGGACCGACGATCATTTCAATATGATGCCACGCCCAAAACTAAAAAATTTATTTAGTCTAACAAATAGGAGATTAAAATTTAAAAAATAGCTTGACATGGATTTTAAGAGATAATTTAGAATTAAATCGCATATGGTACCCTTTTTGAAAATGACGCTTTTAGGTGATTAAATATCTTTATAAAAGTGTAACCAACTCCTTACTTTAGGAATCTCTAAATCAATGCTACTTTTAGGTTCTTAGTTTCTTAAATACTAGGTGGCGATTCCAAAACTTTGTAAATAATTTTATAATTAATTAACGTCTAAACTATTAATTTTTCTTTAGGGGGTCCCGTCCGATGTCGTGTAACTACACGTACAATATTAAAATTCCCGCCCAACCACCCCGCCCCAACCCACCCGACCTGTAAGATTAATTATAATATTTAATACACGGGCTAAGTAGTCAACAAGCACACCTCTAGCATATAAATGGCACCAAAGGCGTTGGAACTTTGATCACCTGAATTGTGTTGTTGCAAATTAGGGTTCAACACAACTTAAGTGGCGCTGAATAGAATATGGCAGATGAGAGGATACCAAACCTGGAAAACAAATCTGTATTGCCTCAACCTCTACCTGAGATGAAGAACAACAACTTACCAAAATTCATTTTTTCTGTTAAACTGAAATATGTGAAACTTGGTTACCACTACTTGGTTTCCAATGCCATGTACCTCATGCTCGTGCCATTACTTTGCATGATATTGGCTCATCTTTCAACCTTCACAGTTGATGAGATTTGGAATCAACTCATATTCAATTTCGTGATTGTAGTTCTTTCCTCAACCTCAATTGTTTTTACTGCTACACTTTACTTCATAAGCCGTCCAAGAAAAGTTTACTTGGTGGAATTTTCATGTTACAAGCCTGGACCAGCTCATAAAGCAACTAGAGAGCTCTTCATGCAGTTATCTTCAGCGTCCGAGGTTTTCACAGAGCAAAGCTTAGCCTTTCAAAAGAAAATCCTGGAGAAATCAGGATTTGGTGAAATGACGTATGCTCCAAAAGGCTTGATGCATGTCCCACCAGACCAGTCTATGGCTGAGTCGTGGAGGGAGTCAGAGATGGTGATGTTGGGAGCAATTGACGATCTCTTGGCCAAAACAAGGGTGAAGCCCGGAGACATAGGAATACTTGTAGTGAATAGCAGTTTGTTCAATCCCACGCCGTCTCTCTCAGCTATGATTGTGAATCACTACAAGCTTAGAGAGAAAATTTTGAGCTATAATCTTGGTGGTATGGGCTGCAGTGCAGGACTTATTTCTATTGATCTTGCCAAAGACCTTTTGCAGGTTTGTTACATTTAAACGACAAATTTTGAAGGTGACACTCTTTTGGTTTTTGATATAGCAATTTAATTAATTTGTTTGTTAACATAGCATTACTTGTACATGTAATATATTTAAATTAAGCAAATGAGTTTGTAGCTCAACTTGAAACTTATCCATGATCTCCAAATTAAGAAGTCTTAGGTTGGAGAATTTCTTTTGTGAAAAAAGAAAAATAAAAAAAACAATTAAGGCTTGACATCTTACTGTACCAGGTGCATCCCAACTCCTATGCCCTAGTGGTGAGTACCGAGAACATTACACGCAACTGGTATTTTGGCAATGACCGATCGATGCTTGTCACCAACTGCCTCTTCCGTCTGGGAGCAGCCGCGGTCCTCCTATCCAATCGGACTTTTGATCGTCGGCGCTCAAAGTATCAACTTATTCATACTGTACGCACGCATAAAGGTGCAGATGACAAGTCCTTCAACTGTGTCTTGCAACGAGCCGATCCTGACACCAAAAACGTTGGCGTCTCTCTCTCTAAAGACTTGATGGCTGTAGCTGGAGAAGCCCTTAAAACCAATATTACTACACTAGGGCCATTAGTCCTTCCCATGTCTGAGCAACTCCTATTTTTTGCAACTTTGCTGGGAAGAAAAATCTTCAAAATGAAGATAAAGGCGCCATATATTCCTGATTTCAAGTTGGCGTTTGAGCACTTCTGCATTCATGCTGGAGGAAGAGGTGTGTTGGATGAGCTTGAGAAAAATCTTGAGCTCACTGAATGGCATATGGAGCCATCAAGAATGACTCTTTATAGGTTTGGAAATACATCTAGTAGTTCTTTGTGGTATGAATTGGCTTACTCTGAGGCTAAGGGAAGGATCAAGAAGGGGGACAGAGTTTGGCAAATAGGATTTGGTTCAGGATTTAAGTGCAACAGTGCCGTGTGGCGTGCTATAAGAACTATCAATCCGGCCAAAGAAAAGAATCCTTGGATGGATGAGATTGATGAGTTTCCTGTTCGTGTGGCCAAAGTTGCACCCATTGTTTCCTAAACTTTGTTTTGCACGAGGGGCCAAATTGGGTGTTATTCCTAGTCTTATTATTATTATTATTATTAACTAAATTGTTATTACTATCATTTTTTTTCAAAAAATTACTAATACATCATCTACTAGTATTTATTATATAATAATTATTGACAATCGATGAAAATATATTAATAATTATGTAAAAAAAAATAACAATTTGATTGGTGAATTTTCACTTATATTCTATTTATTAAGACATGCTATATATTATCGATTGGCTTATTCTTTAAAAAATAATTATTGGTATAGTATCATTATTTATTGAAACAATCATCTTCTATAACTAATAAAATACAAATATTTATTGATTGAATTTGATCAATTGAAATTATTAAATAATTAATTTTAACTGAAAACTTTTCCTTTAGCATGCAAATAAATTTATTTTTGTTATTGTCAATCATTAAATTTTAAATATAATTGTATTTATTTAATATTTTTTTTTATCTTTATATGTTTTATAAGATTTTATACTCTCACAATTGAATCAATTTTATAATATGCATTTAAAATTGTTAGTTAGAAAATCATTTTTTAAAAACTTTCTAATTTTATTTTAGTTTTAGTTTCTTAAAGATAGGTTCAAAAAGTCAAAGTTCTTTTTAGAGAGAATAAAAAAAATTAGTGATAAATTTAATGAATTTTTTTTTATTCATAGGTAAACAAGTGAAAAAAAAAATCTCTTCAAAAATGGAGGAAAAGCATTTTTTATTTTTTTTAATTAATAGCAAAAAAAAAAATGATGGTCAACAGATGAGAGCCTCTAACTCAAAGCCTCATAATGAAAGAAAGGGCACAAATGTCAATTGAATCACAACTCAATGGCTAAATTTTACAATTTGAATATAAACTATATATCCTTCAAAACCACCATTTTTTTTTTTTTTTTGCGGTATAATTATTACCGTACTAATAATTAATTTTCTAAATTAGAAAAAAATGAAAGAGACAAAATTAATTTAATAACTACAATTTTTAACCTTATTATCCTGCTTTAAACATACTTTTAGGATTTTTCCATAAGAGGCCTAAAGCTAAAACTTCTTTTTTCAGCCGAAAAAGTCATAGGAAAAAGAAGGAGCTCCAAAATTTTCGCTTAACCCTAAAGAGATTCACCTCGCCACTAGCCTGACGTTGGATGGCCAAAGTTAATCCAATGGGGGATCAGCGCCCCCACCAGCCCCGGCCACCCCCCCCCCCCCTCTTCGTTATTGCTTCACCATCCTCATTCCCTTCATTACCATCAACCCCCAATCTGAAAAGCAATCCTCCATCATGAGTTTCTTTTGCAAACATAGTATCTAATGTCCAATCCAAAAAACCAAAAAACAATGGTGTCCTTTTGAACTTGGATATAGCTCCTCGGTAACGCACTTCAATGGAGGGAAAGCCAGCGGTTAACTTCTCTTCAATGGAAATCCAACAAGCTGAAAATCTGTTTGTGCACACTCTGGTAGCCAAAATTATAAGAATCAGACCACCTATCAATGTAATCAGAGACAATATCATATAACATTAAGGTTTAAAAACTGATCCCAAGGTAGGATTACTGGGTCCTAGCTAGACATACTGTCATCTGAACATTCTCTACAAATGATTTTGCAAAGGCTTGGTCAATTGAGTGCCATGAAATACAATCCTTCCCATTTCGTCTCTTCAAGTGGGAGCCAAGTTATCATCCTAATAGAGAATCATCACTAGCAGTAGTATGGATACGTCTCCCCTACCTTCCAATCTCCTTCTTTCCCAAGGATATGCTAAAGGAAATTGTGAACTCTTTCGGTGTGTTTTTGAAAATTGATGAGAGGACTACAATCATGTTGTATCCAATCTGTGCAGAAGATTATGTGGAACTAGATTTGGCTTGCCATCTTCCAGAAAAGGTCTGATTATTAATGGGAACAGATAGAAACAAAGGCTTCTAGTAAAAGATTGTCTATGAAGGAAACTTATCCTTTTGCAACTATTATCGTCTTCGTGGCCATGTACAGACATAGTGCAGGAAAAGAAAACCTACAGCTTCAGTCCATACCCTGTCTTGAGCCAACAACCTCAACATATAGCCAACAAAACAACTCCCATAACCACTCCACTAGTTTCAATTATAAAGAAGTTGAATATCTGGAAAGAAAAAGGGCAAAGTTCAGGTATAATGAAGAATGATATTAATATTCCCCAAATATACCTTAGCAGCTCATACCAACAACCAAAGTAATAGGATCACTATTTAAAGACACTTCTAGAGCGGATAGTTTAGCCAAAAAAGGAAGCAAATTGCCACGGAATAGCACTTAAATTCGACAGAGCTGAAGCAAACTTTCATGAATTCATCACAGACAGGAGGTCCTAAAACCTCTCTAGAGAAATCATCATCTCCTTTAATGAGTTTGGTTGCTAGTCATCGAGTGAAAATGAAACCTCAAAGGGGATACATGCTCTACTGACAGGGAAGAGTTGAACTTTCACTCACAAACTGAGGAAGAAGCAGAATCTGAGCATGGGGATGTACTGAACTTCAAGTTACGTTCATTGCATGAAGCCAATAATAAATTTTCCATACTAAGAACATCCAATTCTGATCCGAGTCCAATATCCAGCATAGAAGATTCTTTCCCATCAACTAAAAAAGGAATGTGTTTTTCTCCAAAGGCAGGGTCTCTAAACAAAGGAGAGAATATAAAATGGTCGAACACTTTAGCCTATGCAAAACTAGTTGAATATGAGGTAAATCTGTTGGTTACTTCATAGATGGTAGAGATGGTAGAAGATAACTTTGTGGTGCCAAAATTTCAAAACAAGAAAGTAAAAAAAGTCACATTTACGGGTACTTCTTTAAGACGTAACACTAGATCCTCCAAGGATAATAATGGTAACACCTTTCTTTCCATTTTGTAATGAGTTGCATGATATGGAATGCTGGGGCATTAATTGCCTTGAGAAAAGAAAATATCTTAAAGGAATGGTAAGAATACATAAAGTGAATTTTCTTATTATTATTGAGCCTAAGCTGAATGGAGAAAAAATTATTGAGCAAGCTAGGCTTTTGAAATTTGATTTATACTTGCATAATAATTCTAGTAACACATATATGTAGATCCTATTGAGAAACAGAAGTGTTTCTTTCCACAACTCATATAGCCAGGCTATTACGGTAGAAATATCCAGTAATAGCACATATATAGCTTACTTATTTTCTTGTATATATACAGACTGTGATAAATCGACTTATAGGAATTATGACCATATTTACTTAAATATAAATACCACACCTCCCAATGAATGTTGGGTGGGGATTTCAATATCGTCACCTCTTCCCATGAGAAAGCAGGAGGGTGCCCATTTGATTCGCATGCTATGGAGGAATTTAATCAATTCATTCTTCAGGGTGGTTTATTGGATGTTGGTTTCAATGGTAATATTTTTACTTGGAGTAATAAGCCTGTAGGAGTTACAAGAACCTAAGAAAGATTTGACAGATGCCTGTTTAATGTCCTTTTTTACATAAATATGCCAATGTTAAAATGTACACACCTATCGAGAATTTTCTCAGATCATTGCCCCCTTATATTGACATTTGAAGAGAGGAGGCAAAATATTGTCAGGTTTACTTTTAAGCAGATGTGGACTCATCTTTAATGAAGTGGTTAAATGGCATTGGTGTTACCATGATATGTAAAACTCATTCACTGATTTCCAGCTAAACTTATAAGTACTATGAAGGGCACTGCGTACCTAAAACTAGGAGGTATATGGCAATATATATACGTGTCTATTTAAAGCAGAAGATGAGGTTATTCGTAAAGAAGCTAAAGTAATTATGAATGCCATAGATAAGGCAATGCAGGAGCTAGTAGAGGCTAAAACTAATTTATCGTATGTGGTTCTTTAGGAAGAAATTTTCTTTTGAGAAAAGGCTAGAGTTAATTGATTACAAGTGGGGGATAGGAATCACTCTTTCTTTCATGCTAACATCCAAAATCATCAACAACAAGGTAATATTTCTATAAAACTGAATAGTGAAACTTGTACTAATGATGTAACTGTAGGCAATGGTGTAGTGAATTATTTTCTAGAGCGGTTACAGAGCGATCCTATTGATAGTCTGGATAACCTTCTGGAGTTGGTACCTTCTTTAGTCACTTCAGAGTAGAATAATATGCTCTTAGCATTCCTTTTGGTTACAGAGATCAAACAAGCTGTTTTTGACATAAACCCATCTAGTGCTGCAGGATCAGATCGTTTTATTATCATCTTTTATTAGTCTTGTTGGGATATTATTAGCTCTCAACTAGTCAAAGTAGTGTAGGATGTTTTCAAGGGGGTGATATTCCGATATCACTAACTGCAACAACGATGGTGTTAATACCAACGTGCTAAAACCCGTCCTCTTACAGTGATATGAGTCTAATCAATTTATGTAATATCTCTTATAAAGTCATTTCTAAAATTCTATCTCAATAATTGGGCATGGTTTTACCTCATATTATATCAGATAGGTTTGTGAAAAAGAGGTTAATTCATGAAAATGTAGCGTTGGCGCATTAACTTTTTCAGGAAATTGATAGAAAAACATTTGGAGGTAATGTGGTTCTCAAGGTTGATATGGCGAAAGCATATGATAGGTTGAAATGGTCTTTTCTGATCAAAATTATGCAAAAATTTGGCTTTTCAGAGGAATGGTGCTCGATCATTCACAGGTGCCTAACTAATTACAAGTATTCTATAGTTTTTAATGGCAGATCTTTTGGCTTTTTTTTTTGGTTAGGAATAGATGTACGCCAAGGAGACCCATTATCTTTGGCTTTGTTTATTATTGCTCAAGATGTTTTAAGCAGAAATTTGAACTCTCATGTGGATATAGGATGGATTCTACTTTACCGAATAGGCCAAACAGTAATTAATGTGAACCATTTACTCTTTGCGAATGAAATGATTCTCTTCATAAATGGCTTAAAAAAATCATT